GCCAGACAAAGTTGCAGGCACTTTCTATACAGTCTGGTGCCCTTCCTAGTCCACTCACCTCCGGCCCTCTGCTGCTGCTGCCGCAGGCCCGAGCACCATCCAGTCTCTTGTCGGTTATCTCGGTGCTGTGCCCAAACCTGTGAGCGTGGCGCTGCAGAGGAAGGGGACTGGTTTATTTTGGCTGCCCGCAGATCTCACTCAGCTATAATTGGACCAGCACCATGGTAGTGGCCCAGGCTTCCTCCAGCGGGGCAGGTCAGTCCCTCAACCTGAGCCAAGCAGCAGCCGTTCCAGCACCGCCAGTTCCAGCTCCTCCGCATAGCCACCCATCTCCAACTGGCTCAACAGCAGCATCGCTCTCCACAGACACAGGGCCCGGAGAGGCCGACGGCAGGGCCTGGCATGCAGCCACTGCTGGCAGAACCTCCCAAAAATGAACTGAAACCCGGCACTCCCGGCCGGAAGGAGAGGCCTGCTAAAGGGAGAGAGTCCAAGGGCGTTGGGAATGTGCAGATGGAAAGCAGGGCCCAGAGAACGAGGGAGGAGAGCTCTGAAGATGACACTGAGGTTTCTGACATGCTGAGGAGTGGCAGATCCAAGCAGTTCTATAACCAGACTTACGGAGGAGGCAGAAGGCCCAGACCTGACAGGGGTTATTCCAGCAGGGGAGGATACCTGTTCCAAAGAAATGAGGAGGCCTGGAAAGGACCACCCAGCAGAAGCAGAGATGATGGCTATCAGTATCAGAGAAACTTTAGAGGGCAGCCATATAGGAACGACAGGAGAAGGGCAACACTGGGAGATAATCAGAGGGGGCAGCAAGCATAAAATGAGTGGATAATTGGAAAATTTAAGTAAAAAGTAATTTGAAGTAGCAGTTTAAAATCCTAATTTCCTTTTAGTGAACTTCAATGATATTTTTCTGATGGTTTTCAACTTATGTCCATTTAGTAATTTATAATTTTACCATATGATTTTGCTGTATCTTGTATATGAAGTTTATATTATTTATATGATGCACTGATATTTTTAAACGCCAGAACTCTCCTTCCTTTTGTAAAAAGAAAGGGGGAGATGTGGTGGTGTGTTTTTATTTCATTTAATATTTGTTCAATGTCTGTTCACCCCCCAACCCCCCAGTCTCCTCCTCTCCCCAGCTGTCAATCTCCCCAA